GAAAGGCTGCACGCAGCAGGGACACAGCGAGGGCCATCCAGCGCCTGTCCCCTCCCGCAGCCGCCACCGCCGTGGGGACGGGGACAAGCCACCCCAGAGCAGTGCGAAAGCGCAGACGCCACCGGGGCCACCGTGTCCCCAGCGGGATCCCGGCACCTACCCGATGCAGGAGTGCCTCCGGGACGGGCACCGGCTGCCCGGCAGCATCGTCCCGCTCCGGCAGCCCCGGCGGCTGTGGCGCGGCCGCCCCCGGCAGTGGCAGTGGCAGTGCCAGCCGGCACCGCGTCATGCCATCCCGCAGCCCCTTGTTTTCCTGCCTCGGCTTCCCATCCCCGATGGTACCGGCGACACAAAGCCGCATTGTCCCCTCCGACGGCCCCGCGGGGTGATGCCCGCGTCTGTTCCCGGCCCCGTGCCACCACGCCTGACCCCGCTGCCACCGCAGGGGACAGCCCCGGGGGACACGAGCCCCTGCCACGGGGTTGGTGCCCAATTAACCCCCCTGCTTTCGGCGTTAATGACCTCCGAGCGGTGGCGGCGGGGCCGCTATAAATAGATGCTATCGCTGCCGAGGGGGGATGTGCTGAGCCCCACGGCGCCCGCGAAGGTGGGGCCGGCCCCCCAAAACCGACCCCACAGAGCTCCGAGGTGGGGAGGGCAGGGACGAGCCGCGGCGGGTGGGTGGCTGCCTTGATTTGGAGGGCAAAGTCCCCCTCCGTCCCCACCGGGCCACCTCGCCGGGGTCCCTGCCTGGCCATCGCTGCCATGAGCGTGTCCGTGCTCAGCCCCGCTCCTCCGGCCGGCTCCCCCTGACCACGAGGGGACACCCGCTGTCCCCTCCTCGTCCCCCGCGTCCCCACAGCCCCGAGGACGCGCCACAGCTCTGGGGGGGGCCATGCCCCCACGCCGGCAGCACGGGCTGGTGCCACCCCCCGCGGGGACCCGCCAGCGTCCCCCCCTTACCAGAGGGGATGCGCCACGGTGAAGCGCCGCTGCAGGCGGATGCTCTGGTTCATCAGGAGCTTCCTGAAGAGGACGGGAGAATTGCGGGGGGAACTGCGGGGGGACGCGGCCGGAGAAGCCCCCGGCGAGCAGTGCGCGGTGGGCAGCATGGCCCGGCTCAGGGACCCCCGGGCCGGCGGCGAGGCCCCGCTGCCCCCGGTGCCGAGCAGGAAGCGTGCGGCCGTCCCGGCCCCGGCAGCCCCGGGAAACTTTCCATCCCCCTCCCGCCCTGCGCCTGGGAAATTAAACAACTGTCTGGCTCCGGCAGCCGGCGCAGGGAGCGGGTCCCCCCCCGGTGTGCCTGGCGGCCCGGGCACGTGGCCCCTCGCTGGCCCGGTGCCACCGGCCACCCTGCTGTCCCCGAGGCGGCAGCTGCTCCTGAAAGGGCAGGGGTGCTCTGCCTGGAGACACGGAAAAACGCCCCACGAAGCCCCCCAGGGAGCCAGAGGGTGCGGAGAGGACGTGCCACGGTGCCACGGGGGGACACAGCTGAGCACGGAGCATCCCGGACACGCGGTGTGGCTGTGACACGGTGCCACGGGGGGACACAGCTGAGCACGGAGCATCCTGGACATGCGGTGTGGCTGTGACACGGTGCCACGGGGGGACACAGCTGAGCACGGAGCATCCCGGACACGCGGTGTGGCTGTGACACGGTGCCACGGGGGGACACAGCTGAGCACGGAGCATCCTGGACATGCGGTGTGGCTGTGACACGGTGCCACGGGGGGACACAGCTGAGCACGGAGCATCCCGGACACGCGGTGTGGCTGTGACACGGTGCCACGGGGGGGACACAGCTGAGCACGGAGCATCCCGGACACGCGGTGTGGCTGTGACACGGTGCCACGGGGGGACACAGCTGAGCACGGAGCATCCCGGACACGCGGTGTGGCTGTGACACGGTGCCACTGAGGGGCACAATTGAGTCTGGAGCATCCCGGACATGCAGTGTGACTGTGACACGATGCCACTGAGGGGCACAATTGAGTCTGGAGCATCCCGGACACGCGGTGTGGCGGTGCCATGGTGCCACCAAGGGACAGAGGGATGTGGCTGAGCCCGAAGCATCCTAAACTTGGGGTGTGGCTGTGCCATGGTGCCACCAAGGGACACAGCTGAGCTTGGAGCATCCCAGACGCGTGGTGTGGACGTGCCATGGTGCCACCGAGGGACCTGTGAGAGCCACACCCGTCCCACACCGTGCCCCAGCCCCTCCCTGGTGCTGTCCCCTCCTGGAGCAGAACAGGGAGCAGCAGAGTGAGGTCCAGCTGGTGACAGTGACACTGTGGGGGACCCACTGTGAGGTGGCCGTGGGAGCTGGCACTTGCCCAGCCTGATGCAGCAGGATGTGGCTACCTGCTGTTCCTGATGGCCACAAAAACATCCAGCAGCTGGCAGGGAGCCAGGAGGGACAGCAACAGAGCCCCCCTGCCAGGACAGCGCCGGTGGGGACCCCAAAACCCACCGGAGGGGCGTCCTGGAGGGGTCACCTTGGCTTTCAAAGGACTGCAAGCACGACATCAGGGCAGAGGGATGTGGGACAGGGACATCAGGGGACGTGGGACAGAGGGAAGAGCCCCCTGTGCTGGCTGGCAGCCAGCAGCCCTGGGCAGCAAGGGCTGGGCTGGCCGCGGGACAGCCAGTGCCCATCCCCAGGACAGCCAGTCCTTATCGGCGTGTCACTGTCCCCACGTGTCTGTGCAGGGGTGGAGGACAAGTGACACCAGAGCCATGTCCCTCGGCTGTGCCAGCTCGTTGCTGTCCCCACAAGCCGGGCTGGGAGAGGCACGGGACAGGGGGAATGGCCCAAAAATAGCCCTGCAGCAGCACAGCCGGGCCCGAGCCACTGCGGGAGGGACCGAGGTCACCTCGGGCAGGGCCCGGCCAGCCCCGTGGTGGCTCTGGCTGGGCCACGGGGTGGGGACAAGGAGGGGGTGAGGAGGGTGAGGACAGGCATGGGTGGTGGGGAAAAGGTGGATGGGGGTGGCAGGGACAGTGGGGGACAGGAGTGTTGTGCGGTGACAGGGACAGACGGTGATCACAACGGGCGTCCCGAGGCTGGCACGGCGGGCTCGGTGACAGAGGAGCTTGTCCCCAACCCACCGTGTGCTCTGCCCCGGTGCCGCTGTCCGGCCGCCGGTGCTGAAGCCGGGAGCGTCCCCGCCAGCCGTGCCCTGCCCGGTAACGCGTTCCCGGTGCCACCGGGACATCACCTCCCCGCTCCCCGTCCCGCCCTTACCGGGGGGGCTCGGACTCATCGCCGCTGCTGGGGCCGCTCTCCTCGATGGTGAACACCACCCGGGCAGCCTCGGGCTCGGGGGCGCGGGCCGCCTCCGCCAACCGGCAGCCCAGCGGCGGCAGCAACGGGGTCCCGGAGAAACGGCGGCGCACGGCGCCCACGGCCGCTGCCGGGCCCGGGCCCGACGGGGCGGCCTCGGCGGGATCGCGGCAGCGCTGCCGGGAAACGGAGCAGCGGTGAGGGGCGCGGGGAGCGGCCCGGGGGGGCTCCGTGCTGATCCCGGTCCGAGGGTCCCGCCCGGGCAGCGCCCCCCCCCCCCCCCCCCGGGGCCGGGGGCCGGGGGGCCCCGGGGC